AGAGAGAATCGAACGATAGTCGAAATGGCGAGAACTTTCAAGTATTCTAATCCAGAAATAAAATTTCCAGAAGCAATTTGGGCCGAGTTGGTCAGCACAGCAGTCTACGTTCTCAATAGGACCGGCAAATCTTCATTGAAGGGTCTGAGCCCTTACCAACTTTGGCTGGGCAAGAAACCAAGAATCAAACATCTTCGAATTGTAGGATCGACGTGCTTTGTACACATTCCATGCCAAAAAAGGAAGAAGATGGACGAAAAAGCTGAAAAGGGGTACCTGGTGGGTTACGACGGCGATGAGAGATATCGTATTTACTTACGCTCAGTGTTAAGCGTTGCAGCCAAAAATGATATGTCTTTGGTCCAATTTGACGTCTCGACAGCTTTTCTATACGGTGAATTGGATGACAAGGAGATTTACATGCAACAACCTGAGGGATACGAGCAAGGACAGGGGCTTGTTTGCAGATTGAAGAAGAGTCTCTACGGGCTTAAGCAAGGGCCGAGATGTTGGCAAGAACGCTTTGGAGGTTTCCTGCGGAAACATAATTTCAAAGTCAGCGAGGCAGATCCATGTCTCTATATCAGGGAAAGAGATGGCAAAAAGATTCTACTCGTTGTTTACGTAGATGACGGACTCGCCGCAGCAACAGATACGCAAGATTTGGAAGAATTTTTGAACGAGTTGAAATCAGAGTTCAAAATAGTCTCAAGCAAGGCTGAGTGTTTCTTGGGACTCGAAATCAAGAAGCAAGAAAATGGACTAAAAATTAGTCAGCAAGGATATGCCACAAGGATTTTGGAGCGATTCAGGTTTTCGGATTGCAAAGCAGTTTCAACCCCACTTCTCAAGAATTCGGAAATTACGACAGCAGGGAAAGAATCAGAGACGACTGCGTTCCCTTATCGCCAAGCCATCGGAGCTCTCATGTACCTCATGCTTGGAACAAGGCCAGACTTGGCTTTCAGCATCGGATTTCTTTCAAGAACGCTAGAAAATCCTACAAAAGAAAACATTGCACAAGTGAAGAGAGTTTTTCGTTACATTTCCGGAACAATCAACGTTTGGATAGTCTATCGGAAACAGAAGAGGGGAATCCTCGAATGCTACAGCGATGCTGACTTTGGTGGCTGCACGAAGACTGGGAGATCTACATCAGGGATCATCATCATGTTTGCTTCAGGAGCCATTTCATGGAAAAGTCAAAGGCAGGCCATGGTGGCCATTTCTACTACAGAGGCTGAGATCGTAGCAGCCAATGAAGCTGCAAAAGAAATAATTTGGCTTAAAAGATTATTTCAGGAAATCGACAGATTGGACCGAGCCCCAATTCTCCAGGTCGATAATACTGCCGCCATGAGGCTGGCCCAAAACCCCGAATTCCATCGCAGGACCAAGCACATAGCCAACAAGCATTTTTTCATCAGGGAAAGAATTGCTGAGGGCGAATTTGGAATCGAGCAAATCCCCACTGAAGAACAACTCGCAGATATGATGACAAAGTCGATCCTCAATACTCGACTGCGGATTCTTTGCAACAAGATTGGACTCTTTTGAAGGAGAAAAACACCATTCATTTTGCTTTATATAGAGTCATAAAATTTTCAAGTTTGTCAATTGAATTGTTATTTTTGAATTCTTACAAGGGAAAGTGTTGAAGATAAATGTTTCTAATTCAAAAACCCGCCAAGTTAGAGTGCCACTCGTAATAAAATATCGAAACAAGAAAAAACACATCACTAGCATCATAAAAAATATAACCTAAAAAGCTGTAGAAGAGAGTGAATAAACAAGACAGAGTTTTCTAAAGAAATATAGTTTATTTACTGGCCAAAATAACTCAAAAGGTAAAAGTTATAATAGTTTTGCCATTACATTTACCTATACTTATTTTGTTCACAGTTTGACAGTTACTGTTTTACATTCTCAGCTTTACATTTTCCCTGCATCTACCGATCGCTTCTATGGCAGCTATATGATAAAATTGTCAGATTTTCATAAAATGTATACCAAAATTCTGAAATAATAACAACAGCTCATATCTCAGAGTAGGAAAATACGTTAAAAAAACACGAAGTTAAATTTTATTTTCTAATAATTTCCCGATCGTTCCTATGGCAGCTATAAGATATAGTTGTCCGATTTTCATAAAACTAAAACCGAAATTCTGAAATAATATAAAATGGCCATATCTCAAAAATTATGAAAAAATGTTGAAAATTAAAATATTTATTTTTTTTTTAATGTATTGAACATTTTATGGCAGCTATATGATATAGTTGTCCGATCCGGCCCGTTCCGACATATATAGCAGTGAGAGTATATAGAAGACTATATGAAAAGTTTCATTCAGATAGCTTTAAAACTAAGGGACTAGTTTGCGTAGAAATATATATACTTTATACGGTCGGAAAGGTCTCCTTCACTGGGTTGAAAACTTCTGACTGAATTTATAATACCCTGCCAGGGTATTGTAGGAACCTGTACTTCCGAGAGAGCTAATCAAGTTGGCTTTGGATTTACATTTATGTTGGGACTGTCATTGTAAAAGCTAAGTCAGTCTAAGGCTACAAACATAGTGCGCGCTGAGACGAAGCTGAAAATGAAGACGAAGCTGAAGACGAAAAACAGTGCAGAACAATTCATATGAATTCGCTCGCCCGCAAACATAGTGCGCGCTGAGACGAAGACGAAGATGAAGACGAAACGCAAGCGATCAGCTTCAAACGGAGCAGTACTGTTTTTAAAGACGAATCGCTTGCTATTTTGAGTTGTTCTTCTTCTTTTTTTTACATTTTAGGGGAAAAACTGGAATTTTTAGGGGAAAATTTCAACTTTTTGAGATAGGGGGAGAGCCAAATTTTCATTTGGCAACACTGCAATTTACTTGTGACTTGCGATTTTCCTGAAGCACACGTTTTGTATAAATGTCTATAATAAATGATGAATTAATTGCAGCCGTTTTTAAAAAACAATGTTTATGGGACCAGCAGAATAAACTATACTACAATAGGCATATTGTGGACCAGAATTGGAATGATATTTCAAAGGAATTGGATGTTGATGAGAAATCCATAGCGACTAACATCACAAAATCGCAACAAATTCGTCTTCCACTATGCAACCTATTAGCTTACTCGCATCGCAAGCAATTCGTCTTCAGCTTCGTCTTAATTTTCAGCTTCGTCTCAGCGTGCACTATGTTTGTAGCCTTATTCGGCGAGGCCAAGTGTGCAGAACAAAGCGAGAAAATATACGTGTAAAACGAACGTAATTATTTGAATTTTTGGTGCGAAAAACCGGGTTAATACATTGGCGACGAGGTAAATAAACACAAAATAGGGAAAGTGTATAAATTATTAAACGCAAAAAAAAAAAAAAAAAATAGTAATAAACACAGCAAAAATAAAAAAAAAAGAGAATACACGGTATACATGATATACATACATGTTGAAGAAAATTAAAATGTAGAGGCGTTAAAATGTGAAGAATTATCTGACAAAGATCAGAGGCAGTTAGCCACAAACTAAGCTGACAAAAGTCAGAGGCAGTTAAATAAAAAAAAATGTGAAGAATTATCTGACAAAGATCAGAGGCAGTTAGCCACAAACTAAGCTGACAAAAGTCAGAGGCAGTTAAATAAAAAAAAATAAATGAAAAAAAAAATAATCTGAAAAGAAGTTTTCAGAGGCAGTTAGCCACACACTCACTAAGCTGACCAAGGTCAGGGGCAGTAGAGACAGACAAGCACCCACTAAGCTGACAAATGTCAGAGACGGTAAAATAAAAGAAAGGAAAACTAAAATAAGGGCAGTAGCCAGAAGGCAGATACATGTGTATAAATGTTGATCAATGTTGGTCAATGTATGTACATATAAATGTTAAAGGAACTGATTAAGTGAAAGAAATTTGAAATTTATTTCAGATGAACGCGGAATTATTCATTAAACCATTCTTGTGCGAAAGCATTGACAAAGCACTGCTTTTTAGCGAGTGGGAGAAATGGTTGAGAGCATTCCACATCTACGTGGAACCAGAGGAGATTACTGCGGCCAAGAAAAAGAGGACGAAACTACTCCATCTAGGTGGAACGCAGCTACAAGCAGTAGCGTTTTCACTACCCGACGCTTTGGTCGAATTCAACGAAGTTGAACAAAACGATGTATTCCAGGTATTGGTAGACAAGTTAACAGCGTTTTTCTCCGTTTTTTTTTAACAGCGTTTTGTTCAGGAGTTTGACTCCATCTGATGACGAGAGCTTTGCAAAATTTGTACTGCGTCTTAGACAACAAATTAAGAAGTGCGAGTTTGGATCAACAAAAGCTGAGATGGAAGAAATTTGCCTTAAAGACAAAGTAATCGATACATGGGCGTCGGGCGACCTAAAAAGGAAACTATTAGAGAAAGAACACTCATTGGATGAAGTAATTCAGGCTTGTCAAATTGACGAGGAAATAAAGAAGGAATCTGCGATGATGACAAGGAATACAGCGGTGCCGGTAAATAAAGTCTCGACAAGTAAACCACAGCGAAATTCCGAATGCGGGAGATGTGGACGTGTTGACCACAAAGATGACTGCTCAACTTGTCCAGCTCAACAGTCGAAATGTAATCGTTGCGGTCGCCTTGGCCATTTTGGACGTAAATGTAGAACGAAGTTAAAAAGGGGACATTTTCAACCGAGATCGAGAAACCAAGACGAAACATTTTCCTCCACTAAAAGGTCAAAGACGGAGAATTGTTTCAAAATCATTTGCTAAGATGAAGAAGAATGGATTAAATGCCGGATTGGTGAGGCAGACATATCTATGATTATTGATTCTGGTTCTCGCTATAATCTCATCTGTCAAGACGACTGGGTCATCCTGAAAAGGAACGAAGCCACAATTTTCAACGTTCGCCCAAACTCACAGAACCAGTTCAAAGGTTATGCTTCAGACCAAATATTAAATGTAATTTGCGTATTTGAGGCACCAATTTCTGTTGGTAAACAAGCGGAAATGATTGCCTCCTTTTTCGTCATTGAAAAAGGGAAGCAGTCATTGCTGGGAAGAGAAACGGCCATTAAGTTGAATGTACTACGGCTGGAACTGCAGGTGAACCATATCCAGGAGGTATCAGTTTTTCCGAAGTGGAAGGGGGACAGAGTCAAATTGGCAATAAATCATAACATAAAGCCAGTACAACAACCCATGCGAAGGATACCAGTCGCGCTGAAAGTCAAGGTTCGCGATAAAATCCAGGATGCACTGAAACGAGATATCATTGAACCTGTAAATGGACCCAGTGCCTGGATTTCGCCAATGGTTCTGGTTTTTAAAGAGAATGGGGACATCTGATTATGGCTGGATATGCGGCGAGCAAACCAAGCCATTCTGAGGGAAAATTATCCTTTGCCGACATTTGAAGCGTTCATGACTCAACTTAAAGATGCTAGATATTTCTCAAGGCTGGACCTCAAGGATGCATACCACCAACTCGAGTTAGACGAGGAAAGTCGAGAAATAACAACGTTTATAACTCCTTTAGGACTATTTTGTTATAAGCGATTGATGTTTGGAGTCAACTCGGCGCCAGAGATTTTCCAGAGGAGACTTGAGCAAGTACTGTCAGCAGCCACGAATGTCCTAAATTACATCGATGACTTTATCATTTTTAGAAAAACTGAGGATGAGCATGATGCGGCATTGGAAAGAGTTTCCGGCATTCTAAAAGAAAATAATGCGGTATTAAATGAAAAGAAATGTGTCTACAAAGCCTCTAAACTGACCTTTTTGGGACACATATTATCGAGCCAAGGCATTGAGGCCGATCCAGAGAAGATTAACACAATTAAATCTTTTCGTCCTCCAAAGAACAAAGAAGAGACCCGGAGTTTTCTAGGGCTAGTAACATATGTGAAAAAGTTTATCCCAGATTTAGCAAATAAAACTGACTCGCTGCGACGACTGCTCAGAAAGGATGAAAAGTTCATCTGGGGCGTTGAGGAACAGGATGCGTTTGACAGACTCAAATCATGCCTAGCGGATATTCCAAAATTGCAGTACTTCGATCCAAAGCACAAAACACAGCTAATTGCTGACGCAAGCCCGGTTGCATTAGGAGCTGTTTTGCTACAATTTCATGGAGACGGGGTGCCGAAAATAATATCTTTTGCTAGTCGAAGTCTGACAGATGTCGAAAAGCGCTATTCACAGACCGAAAAGGAAAGTCTATCATTAGTGTGGGCAGTAGAAAAATTTGTCTACTATCTAGCGGGCTTAGAGTTTGTACTGATAACCGATCATAAGCCACTGGAGACCATTTTCAAACCATCATCGAAGCCACCGGCAAGGATCGAAAGATGGCTCCTCCGCCTCCAAGATTTCAAATTCATAGTCAAGTATAAAGCTGGAAAGGAGAACATTGCGCATACTTTTTTGCGACTATGTAAAATAAACCCAGGGTATTGCTACGACATGAAAGGCGAACATAGCATTCTACATGTAGTCGAAAACGCGACTCCGTCGTCTATGACTATAACTAAAATTGCAGAGAAAAGCACTCTCGACGAAGAGATAGTAGATGCAATGTCGTGCCTGCAGGATGAATCGTGGAACGCATCATCTTCAAACAGTCTGTTTCCATTCAGAAATGAACTCTCATTAATTGGATCCATAATGATGCGAGGAACCCGCATAGTCATTCCATCGTCGTTAAGACAGGCGATCTTAACATTGGCACACGAAGGTCATCCAGGCGAGTCGGCTATGAAACGGCGATTACGGTCCAAGGTATGGTGGCCACAAATAGATAGAGATGCGGAGAAATTTGTCAAGTCCTGCAGAGATTGCATAATGGTATCGCAAGTCTTAAACCCCACCGCGATGAAGCGAACAACATTTCCAGAGGGTCCATGGATTTATGTAGCTTTTGGGACCATTGCCAAACCACGAACACATTTTAGTTTTCATCGACTATTACTCCAGGTATATGGAATACAAATTTCTTAAATCGATCTCATCAATTTCGTTAATCGGAGCCATGAAAGAAATTTTCTCCAGATTAGGTTATCCTAAAAAGTTAAAAACTGACAATGGAAGACAATATGTCAAAATTGCGTACACCAACAAGAATAACCTCAAGGAAGAAATGCAATCATTTGTTATGATGTATAATGTTACTCCCCATGGAACCACAGGGTCAGCACCAACAGAATTGATGTACAATCGAGTGATAAGAGACAAAATCCCGGGAGTTCAGGATTTGATAGGAGAATACAGTGATTCAGCAGAAAGAGACCGGGATTTAGTAAACAAACAGAAAGGGAAAGAATATGCCGACAAGAGGAGAGGGGCTAGGGAGATTCATGTTAAAGTAGGCGACAAGGTTTTTCTTAAAAATGTAATATTAGCTCACAAACTTACACCGAATTTTGACATCACTGAATACGTCGTAGAAGGAAGAGAGGGAGATATTGTAAGAATAGCGGGTGGAGGCAAGACCTTGACAAGAAACGTGAGCCATGTGAAAAAGATTCCACCAAAATGAGGAAGTGGTAGGCGGTTTATAATAAATAGTAGCAATTGGGGACACTTTGGGGCAAGAATATACAAAAAAAACACCAACTATTTTGGGCATGCTTGTAGCTTTGGCGCGACATTTTAAATTCCATATTTCATATGTTCCTCGCCAAGTTTGTTTACATTTTTGTAGTGTTGGGCAAATTTTCAATGTTAAGAAGAAGAAATCAGAGTTGCACTGAAAAATTATCGCCTAACTATAGCTTAACAAACCGTGGTTAGATTTATACTGTCTTCCCACACAGCACATTTGTGAGGAACGTTTGGGATTTTTGACAAATGTGAAACTCGTGTTCCCACACAATATTAAAGCACATTCAACATCCGAACAGCTGATCGATCAGCTGTGGCTCATGAAAACGTAAACAAATGGGCAGTTGCAAATTTGAAATGGAGCATTTACCAACTATTTTGGCTGTTGTACAACAGCAAAAGGCACAGATTGCGTCAGAATTTATCCGCACTAAATTTAAATGAATTAAATGACAAGACATTTTAGTTTTTCTAATGATTTTTCTCTAACAGAAAGCAAATTCCCCGAAGAGTGTCTATAGGTGGTATAGGCATCCAAAATCTTTAAAATAAGGTAGAGGTAGGCGGTTTATATTAAATAGTAAAAATGGGGGACATATTGGGGCAATAATATACAGAAAAAACGCCAACATCTATTTTGGGCATGCTTGTAGCTTTGACGCCACGTTTTAAATTCCATTTTTCATTTGTTCCTCGCCAATTTGTTTACATTTTCGTGGTGAATGGTCAAATTAAGAAGAAGAATCAGAGTTGCACCGAAAAACTATCGCCTAACTATCGCCAAACAAACCGTGGTTAGATTTTAATGTTGAACTAACGCCGGTCATTTGGGAAAATTCGGAACGGCAAAACCTTATGGACCGTTTGTTCAACGGATGTTGAATGTGCTTTAATGTTGTGTGGGAAGACACTATTAGATAAAAAATCATCACCGTGTACATTTCCTACCGTTCCATTTTAAGCCTAGTACTCTGACGAGAAAAACCCGCTGTCTAAATTAGACAGCGGAATCGCTGTTTATTTCGCTACCGAGCTAGTGTGACCAAAAAAATTAAGGAAATTCCATGAAAATGTACTTTTTATGGCGTTTAAGGATTTTCCTTGGTCACACTGGACAGCTGTTTGTAAACAAATATTCAAAAAAAATATTTAAAATATTAATAAATATGGCATTAAAATATCCTTTGTGGGTTAAATTCCATATTATGGGCTTCCCCTTGACAGCCCCTATCAATGCCACCTTTTTCCTTCAACTTTCCCTCCATTAGGGGTGTCTAAATAAATCAAATGAATTATTTAGACAGCGCGATATCAGCTGTTTACTATCTTGATCTGGCAACGCCATTCAATTTTCGCAGGCTTCATTTTCGTCGTCAGAGTACCGAAAAAAACGACGTGTCTAAAAGTTCTTCTTCTTTTTTTTTCGACACCGTTTTTTTTATATGGAGTTTGGCCGCTGTCTAAATTTATACAGCGGTTTTTTCTCGTCAGAGTACTAGGCTTTAACGCAGACAAATTTTATCAGATTTTAAACTTACATTTGACGTAATAGCCTGTTCCCACAGAGATCCAACTGCCATCCACCATGCGTGGAACAGATGGTAAAATTTTTGTCGTTCTAAACTTTCGGTTATATATATGACACAGGCGCATTCATTAGAGACTTCATTAAAGATTCAGCAGCGCTATAGCGTTTTACACAAGTGCGAGCAAGACGACTATATGGCATTAGAATAATGCATTAGCTACTTCATTGCCGCGCTAATCGATAGATTTACAGAATATATACTAGATACTCGATAACAAAATACGGGTTTAATGAAGAAAATTGTAATTGAAAAATGTATTAGCCAGCTCATTGACAGTATGTTCTCACAATAAGAATTTTATTTTTATATAATTTCGCTGGTTTTTGAACTGAAAAAATTATTAGAAAATTAGGAAAAATAATATGTTTTGCGGTAGCAAGGTTCTTTCGCTTTAAAATTATTAACAATTTTTTTTTTGGTAATAATTAAAAAAAATTTTAAGCATTATAGGTTAAAAACATAAATTTAAAGGACTCTGCATGTATTTATGCAAGAATATTTCAAAGAGGAATTCAGAAATTCATAGTAATACGCCGCAAATGGCGGCCGTTTTTTTTTGTTTAACTTTAACGGTCGGTGTGACCATAGTCGCTTTACCAAAATAATCCAAGCAAAATTACACATATAGCGGTCTCTTTCAAGGTTCCAATGAAGTAGCTAATTAATGAAAACTGCATTATAGTATCATATGGCTATTACTATATCCGAATTTGATGGACTTGTTTAAGTGGTATTTATGCTGTTTTTTTTTTTTGCGCATTCACTAAAGCATAAACAAAATTGACGAGAAACCATCGAAAAATGGATGGCGTCAAAGTATGTCCAAAAAACTATATTCTTGTTTCATAATGTCTCAAATTGCGTCTCTTTAATATATATACTTAATAGGGTCTTCCCACACATCGTCAAAGCGCATCCACCGTCCGTTAAACAAACGGTCCATAAGGTTTTGCCGTTCCGAATTTTCCCAAATGGACCGGCATCAAAGCGTATCTAAATCTAACGACCGTTTGTTTGGCGGTATTTAGTCGGTGCAACTCTGATTTCTTCTTCTTAACAGTGCAAATTTGACCAACACTACGAAAAATGTAAACAAAGTTGGCGAGGAACAACTGAAAATAAAATTTAAAATGTGGCGCCAAAGCTACAAACATGCCCAAAATAGTTGTTGGTGTTTTTCTGTATATTTTTGCCCCAATATGTCCCCAATTGTTACTATTTAATATAAACCGCCTTCCTCTACCTTATTTTAAAGATTTTGGATGCCTATACCACCTATAGACACTCTTCGGGTAATTGGCTCGTTGTTACAGAAAAATCATTGGAGAAACTAAAATTCCTTGTCATTTAATTCATTTAAATTTAGTGCGGATAAATTCTGACGCAATCTGTGCTTTTGCGGTTGTACAACAGCCAAAATAGTTGGTAAATGCTCCATTTCAATTTTGCAACTGCCAATTCGACAGCCTTTGTTTACGTTTTCATGAGCCACAGCTGATCGATCAGCTGTCCGGATGCAGATGCACTTTAACGCAGCTATGAGTGAACACGACTTTCGCTTCTGCGAAAAATCCCAACCGTTCCTCACAGATGCGCTGTGTGAGAAGACCGTATAAAGTTTATCTTTAATCGAACTTGCGAGCCTCTACTACCATGAGAGAAAAATCATTCCAGCATCTTCAACTCCTCGTTATCCATTTTTTTAATAGGAGAGTTATTTTTTGTTTGTATGCGTTACTGTAGTGTAGTAGCATTGACAATAGTGTCGGAAGAAGTTCATCGCTAGTTCATTTTAATTTATTGAATATAATATCTGCCTCATCTTAAGCTAAAATAGTTGGGAAACTATTCATTTTACTCAAGCTGATAGGGTCTTCCCACACAACATTAAAGCGCATTTAGCATCCGTTGAACAAACGCTCCATAAGGTTTTGCCGTTCCGAATTTTCCCAAATGTGCCGGCGTTAGTTCAGCATTAAAATCTAACCACGGTTTGTTTGGCGATAGTTAGGCGATAGTTCTTCGGTGCAACTCTGATTCTTCTTCTTAATTTGACCATTCACCACGAAAATGTAAACAAACTTGGCGAGGAACAAATGAGATATGGAATTTAAAACGTGGCGCCAAAGCACAAGCATGCCCAAAATAGTTGTTGGCGTTTTTTCTGTATATTCTTGCCCCAATATGTCCCCCATTTTTACTATTTAATATAAACCGCCTACCTCTACCTTATTTTAAAGATTTTGGATGCCTATACCACCTATAGACACTCTTCGGGGAATTTGCTCTTTGTTAGAGAAAAATCATTAGAAAAACTAAAATTGCTTGTCATTTAATTCATTTAAATTTAGTGCGGATAAATTCTGACGCAATCTGTGCATTTTGCTGTTGTACAACAGCCAATATAGTTGGTAAATGCTCCATTTCAAATTTGCAACTGCCAATTCGACAGCCTTTGTTTACGTTTTCATGAGCCACAGCTGATCGATCAGCTGTTCGGATGCTAAATGGGTTTTAATGTTGTGTGGGAACACGAGTTTCACATTTGTGAAAAATCCCAAACGTTCCTCACAAATGCGCCGTGTGGGAAGACAGTATGAATTCACTTTTCATGGTCAACTTTTAGATATGTATATATATATATTTTTTTTGTCACTTTCTCGCTGTTTCCAATCAAGCATATTTTCTGCCATTGTTTATTTTTGTTTCAAATCTTGACCGTTTGGTATTTTATTTATTCCCCCAACTTGGTCATACTAATTAAATGAATAGTTTACACGTCAATTTTATAAAACCAAAAAGAAAAATTACATACAAAGAAATTAAAAACTAGTTGTAGAAATGGGACTCACCATATCTAGCCTCCTTACGCGACTTTTTGGGAAGAAACAAATGCGAATACTAATGGGTAACGTTTCCGGATATGCCTGCTCTCATTTAAGTAGTAAAAAAAAAACGCATTTACTTATTTTCAAATACTACAAAATCTATTGTTTGCAATTTCTGAGTACTAATATCATTAAATATTTGTACTATTTCGTATAGTTGGCTTGGATGCCGCTGGCAAGACAACAATACTCTACAAACTTAAGCTCGGGGAGATTGTCACAACCATTCCAACCATTGGATTTAACGTTGAAACTGTTGAATATAAAAATATATGTTTTACCGTTTGGGACGTTGGCGGCCAAGACAAAATCCGGCCATTATGGCGCCATTATTTCCAAAATACACAGGGCTTAATATTTGTTGTTGACTCAAACGATCGGGATCGGATTAATGAAGCCGAAAAGGAATTACAAAATATGGTAATATTTGTTGGCTTCATTAAATAAATATGTTAAATAATATATCTTTTATTCTTAGCTTCAGGAGGATGAGCTCCGGGATGCTGTGCTCTTGGTTTTTGCCAATAAACAGGATCTGCCCAACGCAATGACGGCTGCCGAGCTAACGGATAAATTACGTCTTAATCAATTAAAAAATCGCCACGTATGCTTGGAATTATTATTTTAATTTAACTTGTATTTATTTTTCCATTATTTTTCTAGTGGTTTATTCAAGCTACTTGCGCTACACAGGGTCACGGACTATATGAGGGACTTGATTGGCTCTCCGCAGAATTGGCTAAAAAATAATACTACAAAATATGTAATTTATATTGTACAATAAGAGCATTTGCATTCTTCGCTATAAAAAATATAAATGTTGGAAACACTTCAATAAACTTGCATATGTATGTATGTTGGATTTTTATTCAAATATTTTGGATTTTGAATTGATTACGAGTATATTTTTTTTACTCCCAGGCAGGGTATAATTTCAGTCAGAAGATTACAACGCAGTGAAGGAGCCTTCTCCGACCCTATGAAGTGTATGCATAATTCCTGATCAACATCAACAGCCGCATCAATCTGGCAAAATCCGTCTAAATACTACTACTCTCACAAGTATATACATAACTAGGATTGGACAACTATATACTTACTTATAATAGGAACGATCAGTAGATGTAAAGAAAAATGCAAAGCTGTGAATGTAAAACTGTAAATATTTCTACTGGTAAATATAATGAAAGTTAAAAACTGCAAGGGTATAGAAATTTTGGCGTGCCGAGTAGTTTCCTTTCTTGATTAATTTTCGATTTGGCATTATAGTTGATTTTACATTGTATTTGTTTTTTAATGTATGGGGAATAACCTGTTTACGTTATATTCCTATATTTCTTTTCTATATAATATTTAAATTTAAATTATGTGTATATCTTACCTTTCTTTCAAATGGTTCTTTAAAACTAAGAAACTGAACTGTAATATCCAAGCCATTTAACTGACACAGTGTTTACCCTAATGTATCTACATACATAGGTGTGCTTACATACTTGTTAAAAAATACTTACATATAGACATGCATATGTACATATATACATATGTATGTACATACATAAATATGTAGAAAACCGGACCGTACCAAAGCACAAAGCTTGGCTTTAAAACGGCCCTATTACGCGGGTAACAACTTTTTAGCACCGAAAATCGAGTGAGCAGCTCTGAAAAAAGAGCTTTGTCTTGGCAAACTTCACGCATACATACATATATACAAACATATGTACATATGAACATATGATTTTTCCATAAAAGTATAGGTATGCCTTTTTGCTGGTTTCAATTTATTGTGAACTTTCGCTGCACACAGACTTAACTTGTCGCAATTGCTGCCATTCAGTGGTAATATTTTTGCAATATATTGAAACAAATAAATTTCTATGTGTGTATTCATGAATTTCTGACCCGTAAAGGCATCTCTTAAAAAATGAGCATCCGTTTTCACTTTGTTATTCTGGCCTTGGCTATACCAACTTTTATGGCTCCTTTTCTTAGTGGAGCTGAAAAAAATGTTGAAGTTATGGATAAAACTGGTGAAATTCGAATTTACAAACGACTTATTCCTGCTGACGTTTTAAGAGGTGAGTTATTGTAAAAATTTATGTATGTACATACTTAGACTAATTTAATTTCGAAAGTTCAAAACGAAACTTTGATATGAAGTTAATCAAGGCCGTATGTACATATGTCTGTACGTATGATGTATTACTATTAATATACACATTACGGAAGAACTACTACATACATGCATGTACATAATATCTCCATTTTTAGATTTTCCAGCGATGTGCTTTGCATCAACTCGATGTGCAACTGTTGAGCCAGGAAAATCCTGGGACTTGACTCCATTTTGTGGTCGCTCTACATGCGTACAAAATGAGGAAAACGATACAAAGTAACATTGTTTTTCTTCTTTTATTATTTCACCATTTAATTTGATATTATTTATATATAACAAACATAACATTTCTGAACAGACTGCTGGAGCTTGTAGAAGACTGCGGCCCATTGCCCTTGGCCAATGAAAAATGCAAATTAGATACGGAAAAGACGAACAAAACTGCACCGTTTCCTTACTGCTGCCCCATCTTTACTTGCGATCCGGGAGTTCAGCTGGAATATCCGGAATTTCCAAAGGACAATGAAAAAAAAGAAAAGGTTTAATAATGAAAACCATAACCACAATACAACATAATAATATTTTTGTGAAATATATTTTTAGTTGAAACAAGTCGTGTCTTTGCTTAATTTTTGTATCAGACAGTATTTTATTTAACACATTCAATATTCTTAATAACATTGTCCCTCTTCTATAATTACAATAGCCGACTTAGTGTTATTACTGTTCTTATTAAAGGGATTACATTTGTTATTTTCATACATTATCTTATTGACATTAGCCCTTAAAATTCTAAAATTAACATCACTGTAATCCAAGCTACTATACAAAAAAATTGGTAAACGATTGCTCATTATCCACACACTTTGCTGCTCTTCGTTGTCCACTTTTAAATCATTTGGGAATTGGATTAGTGTATTGGAGGCCTCATCACTTTGATTAAAAAGTAACATCAAATTTGCACGTGTATAAGGTTTTGCAGTGTCCCAGCAACCAATGTTATCACGATGAACTTGTGTGTAAAACATAACTCCATCTCTGGTGATTCCGGAAGTTGATGACTGGCTTTTGTATCCACGGTCCCCAATGGACACGAAATATTTGGCGGTTTCCTGGCTACTAGTTTGCCATATGAATTCGTTTGTTAAGAGTTCCATAGGTACCATAAATTCCTGCAACGAATATTTAAGGTAAATTAGGTAAAAAACAGGGCACTTAAAAAAATGTTGCAAAATTTAAAGTATTAGCTGGATATCTCGGATATATCCATTTCAATGCCAATACTTGTTTTTTGACTCTGACTATTCTTTTGTTTCTATAAACTTAAAAGAGCATTCTGGTGGTAAAAGATGCATTAAATTTTATGACGAAGCACTAAAAGATTTTAATATTTCGATTTTTCAGCATAGAGCTCAAGAAGGTTCCGTGTACACGTTATTATGTTACTTTATGAATGAGTGTATTTTTAAAAACAAATTTTAAAGTACTAAAAAAATAAAAATAAATATACGGACACTGATAATAAAAAAAAGGTTTTGCCAGAGGGAAAGCGGAATTAGGAAACCCAGTGGGCTAAGCGTGGACGCCCCTCTGAAGTCACTCCTAAAGCTGCCCAACCTGCTGATATCGGCCATGAGCAGTCGCTTCGATAAGTAAGCGCAGCTCATGGCGTGCCTTTTTCTGAAGGCGAAAAACTGCGGCAGCTACTTAACGAGCTGAGTTTCGACATGATCCTGATTGTGCGCGGAGAGTCCGTGACATCTTCAGGGCTCGATAAACCTTGTTTGACCCTTCATTCGTTAATAAATTAGAGTTCGCTAGGGAAAAGGTTTCACTACTTTGCGCACTCGTAAAATATCGCCGCTCAAAGAACCAACAACTGAACTTTGACTAGCCGGGCGCTCTATACGTAAACGAGCAGCTCTCAAAAGGTAATTTCTTTAGTTTCAAAGAAGCCCTGCACATGAAGTGCAGTAGATGAGATGACGTTTACATCACCCAGCACCATTTTATATTTTAAGCATTTTATATTTTAAGTCTAAAATGATGTCACAAAAATTCACAGAGCTTGTGTATCGAATTTGAAGAGTTCCGGTATTTATTAATCAATTCGAATGTTGTTATTATAAGCGTCTCAGAAACTTAGTTTGTTGTAACCACAAATAGTAAACTGTTTGAATGCTCTGGATATAATCTTTACTATTCCGATCGAGTGGGGCATGCAGAGGGCAATATATGTTAAATTAAATATTAAATGGAATTAATTTATATTTTTCTGGAATTAATTACTGTAAAAAGTAGCAAATCATTGATATTTATCAACTTAACAAACTGACTTACTAGATTATTATCAATTCCTTAGCAAGTTCATCCTGTATATATAGTGACAAATCAACTTACGTGACAATATAGAATCTCGAAGAGTGATACCATCCCATTACACTAATACGGCGAATACCTGGCTTGATGTAATGTTTGTTGACGACCATGATAAAATTCTCCTTTATGACTAAATCGCTGACCAAATTTTTTTTGACTTGACTGAGCATAATTTTTAGGAACATTAACTATGATATGCTGAACTGTGATGTCAGCAACTGTGATTAGAATAACGTCTTTGTGTTACCATCGAATGAATCACGACAAAACCATCTAAAAACTAACATTGAATATCTATATAAAAGACACGTACCTATTAGGAAAAAACTGGCTAGGAACTTTTAAAATTCCTGGTTTAATTCCTTGACATTTAGAGAGCTATAGATAATATTGACAAGGCATATGCACATTGGAGACGATATAAGACAGAACCTTTTTACGGACTGTTTAATTATGTAATTAAATTAATTCATGACAATAAAAAAGAAATAAAACAGATGGGTGTTGGCAAGCCAAAAACTGAGAAAAATAATAACGTAAATTTAACGAGTTCAATGTGGACATATTTGTATCTGTCTATTGAATTCAATTTGCTTGTGTGAGTCAATGTGATGTTTTAGAAGCCATTCTGAATATAAAATTGCCATTGGTCTGGATGATCTGCAAAAAAAAATGTATAAAAAGCTAGCAAATACTTTTCGCAAAGATTCTACATTACTTTTTCCGATTCTTAAAAAATAGGAAAGATCATACGGACTAAAAACCAATGACGAATATAGACTAACTTATCAATCTTACGGTGCCTTCCCAGGGCTGGGCAAGCCTGGGTAGGAAGATGCCTTGCCGTGGCTTAGAAACGAAGCCACGGTCGACCTTCTTTAATGCCAAAAACCCCTCGGTACCCCAGCGCTCGCCTCGTCGAGCAACGTGGGCTTAAATCCGCTTCGAACCTCATGGGGAGGTAAAACCCAACTCAATCTCCGAAATCGATAAAGAAGAGGCCCAGAGACCGACATCATTTAGCAAGGTGGCTGGAGACAGCCTTGTCATGGTACTGGTGGACGGGCTCAACGACAACGGGTTGCCTGCTTATGGAGGAGGTCCAACCAGGCTGGCAGAGATGATATAAGACAAATTGCTTTCCGAGCCATCTGGTGGGAGACCCCCCTTTGACTCCTCAGACATGGTTAGAGGGCACCGGGTAATTAGGTGCGACGACGAGTCTTCGAGAAACTTACTGGTGGCGTGCGTTGCTAAGATTAGCAACGCATGGGAGGGGGATAAGCATCAAGCTTATCTCCGCCATGGACAGCACGATAAGGCCCACGGCTCGGATTTGGTTACCCAATGGACAGTCTAACCATAACACGTTGCTGATGACTAGAGCTTAGAGCCGAGGCGTTGACATGGAGGACTATGCCATCCTAAAAGCGGAACGGGAGATGAAATTTAGTTAGCCATTCTAGTTTTTCATTAATCAACGCTGTCTGGAACAACCCGAGAAATCCGACCGCAAGGTCGCTATGGCATCAGAAAAGCCAAGATTAAGGTCTTTCCCCGAGGATGAAACCGATGACACCAACAAGCTGTTGGACGAGGACGACACCCCTGACACTAACCTGCAATGATGCAGGTCAGATTAACCTGGAGCGTAGCTCACACGCTTGAGCAAATCTTCCAGTTCTTCTCGTTATCGACTTAGTACAAAAGCCATGGATAGCCAAATCTCTGGTGTGGCTGTTAGAGGATACACAACATTATATACCAACACGACAGGCAGGCCGAGGGCGGGTATAATCATTAAAAACATCCTTATCGCTCTTTTATATCCCATTCTTAGCAACCTAGATCTAGCAGTGGTCATGTTTTAAGCGGCCTCCGGAAACATGGCCCACGAGGAACCGGCACCCCTTGAGGCGTCCAGCCAAGAACAATAGCTGCGTCTTCGAAGAAGACTAGGCCTGTAAGAATAAATAAAATGAATTATTGTGATAGTACGATATCAGCTGTTTACCTCTTGATCTGGCAACGTCATTCAATTTTCGCAGGTATCATATTCGTCGCCACAGTACCCGCAAAAACGACGATGAAAAAAATTTTTTCTTCTACCTTTTTTCACATAGTTTTTTTATATGGAGTTTGGCCGCTATCACAATTGTTACAGCGGATTTTCGACGTCTCAGTACTAGGCTTTAATATTTAATATGCAAATTAATATTTTTCTATTATTACCTTACACTATTGTTATAAAAAAATTCCTTTACATTTTCTAAGTTTAAGTATCACGATTGAAAAAGCTAAACTTGTTGCCGGATCAAAAACTAAACAGCTGAGATTTCGAAGCGAAAAAAAATTAATTGATATTTTTTGAAAGCAAATATGCAGGAAAAATTGAAGAAAAAAAATTGTCAGGAGTAGAAAGATTTTCTTTTCGTGAGGATAAAGTATCGTTAATAAAAGTGCAGTTATGAGGAAACCTGTGCTATGGGATTTAACCCACAAAGGGAATTTTCAGGCTTGCTCCGGTAATCGAAAACGGGAAGATTTTTGCATTTCGTTTTTAAAATCTAGAAATCGGTGCTCCGGTTTCCGAAGACGAAAGGTTTTTTATGGCTTAAATGGCTTTTTTTATATGAAATCAGATCTTATTTACATAAGGAAAAAAATAGTTTACTCAGTGGTCTTCTGATGTTTATTCCACACCACCACAAGATCATTCTGGCACGTATTTATTTAAAAAAAAAATTATTTCTGGCACCATCTCAGATTTGACAACAAAACTTTTGCCGTGTTCAACAAGTTTTCTCGTTTTTTCGATAGATCGATAAGTGCATCGCAAACAGTTATCACCACGGTTTGCCATATTGTTCCCAACAACACGAACGAAACAGCCAGTTAAAACGGCGAATTTTGTTTTGCCCCAATTTCACGACTTCATATAACCCCGAGTAATAATAGAATATTGGTAATTCAAATTTGTTGTGAAATTTTTCTGATTCGAAATTAGTTGAGAGCGATGTGATAAACTATTTTTTTTGTTTTGTTAACCGGTGCAAAAATAAATATTGATGACGGCTTGCCGCGCGAACAGGCTACGTATAACTGCCCATGTGAAAAATATTACTATTCCAGATATATCGCGCAAACTTCCAACGATTGGCATTGCGATTTATTGATTGTCATCGCAAATGTCAATCGAACTGGGAACTAAATCCTCTTGAATTGGAATGGAAGATCTGTTGAAATAATCGGAATTCGTGGGATAAGAACTTCCTCTTGATGAACGCCGCTTGAATTACGTTGTTCATTAGCGTCTTAACGGACGACCGCGTACCGTTGCATAATCTCGGATGATTTAGATTCCGCAGCATTATAATAATTGATCCCACCTTCAGTTGCAAATTATGCGGCGGAGTTCCAGGCACATTCAGTGAGTTCAAACTGGTCGCTTCGAAATTCAAACTATCTACGTTCTTATTCTTCGCTGCTAGTATTGCCCTTCACCCTTTCACCATTGCAGAGCGCCAGCAGTTGTCTCGAGAATTCAGCAGCGGATGGGTCATTCTGCAATGCGACTCTCATGTTCGTGGTCAATTTAAACTTCTTGATATATTGCCACAAGCAGGACGATTTTAGGCATGCATTAACTTCATCGGCAGTCGTAGATTTCTGGATAACGGAAAGCGTTTGACGAAAATCTCCGGACAGCAATATCAAAGCCCCACCAAATAGTTTCGAATCACCTCGTAAATCCTTCATCGTTAGGTCAATTGCCTCCAAAGCTCGTTTATGCGCCATGGTGCATTCATCCCAAATGATGATTTTGCATTCTCGTATCAATTTTGCTGTCGCTGAATTCTTGCTCATCGTGCACGTTGGCTGGTCAACCGTCAGAGGATTCATGGGTATCTTAAAAGCGGAATGTGCAGTTCGACCGCCTTCCAACAATGTAGCAGCAATTCCAGATGATGCAACAGCCAACGCAATTTAAGATCTTGACCGAATCGTTGCCAAAATCAACGAAATGACGAATGTCTTGCCTGTCCCACCAGGAGCATCGATAAAGTATAAGCCTTCCGTTTCATCGCCAACAATCTTCATTATCGAATCGTCCACTCTCTTCTGCTCGGCATTCAAAAGCGGTACATTTTTTCGTACTCTTTCGGCCAGGTTATCCTGATTGTAGTGTTGCTCCCGTTGAAATTCGCGATTGAAAGTATCGTGCACTGAACAATTTGGCGATGGCATTCCCAATGTCGATAGTAGACTGCCGCACATGAGCATGCACATGTCCTTCATCCGTATTAATTCTTTGTTATACATATCTTCGTTAATGCCAAGAGTGAAATTAGAAGTTGTCCTGCGTACTCTGTTCAAAATATCGTCCACCATTTGGTATTTGTCTCACAATGCGGTCGGGTTCGACGGATGACACGTAGCTATGATTATTGCGAATAATGTATGGATTTCATTCACTGACGGAGAAACAGTGGCATCGATGAACGTTGAGACCCAATGAGTATTGTTTTTCTTGTTTAAATATTTTTTGACCGATTTCATCGAAACACAATTTCAACGCAGCTATGATCTTTGTAGGGTGATTCAGAATTTTACATACAACAGTGTGTACATCTGTTGAGCCACTAGAGACTTTTCCAGAAGGTTTTCCCAAAATTTTATTATGCTATAGCCTTCTTCTGGCAATTACAAACAACAGAAAAAAAATTGTGCCAAATCGGCCCAGCCGTTCTCTTGTGATGCGATTGCTGACATTTTTTGTTTCCATTTATATATATATAGATGCTATTTAATTTGATTACTTAAATGGTCAAAATTGATCAAAAAATTAATTGAGACCACCGTAATTAAAACTGTAAAAAATGTGGCAGCTCGCTCTTGTGGAAAACAGCTGTTTTATGTTTAATTAATTTTTTAAATATAAGTACACAAATATTGATTGCTTATTTTCAATTAAACACAGATCTATTATTTTCAGGGGAAAGCGCAAATCAACTTTTCAGGATGAGGTCGTCCTGGGGTTTATGATTTGGCCAGGGGGTTTAGTAAGGGCGACAAGGTGGCTTCAGAAGCGAAGTAGGCTGAACTTTGCAGCGCCTTGAATGACATTGGCCCTCCGACCTTAGATGCCTATATTTTCTTAATTTCAGCTATTTCTACCTCCTCCTGGCTTCAAAACACGCCATGTAACAGCGTAACAAACGGTTAGAAAACGAAACATTCCGTTAGCAAAACGATATCAAAAATTTGTCGAAAACCGGAGCAACTAAAAACACTGACACGTATGGCCAGCTATTTTATGTAAACAATATTTATAAATTGAAATTAAAAATCTAATAAGGCTTTGAGGCTCATACTGTCTCCCCACTTAATAAATCTGTGTGAAACAGTTGGGATTATTCGCAAATGTGAAACTCGTCTTCCCCCACAGCTACTCTGCATCCGACATCCTATTACACCTGATGTATCAGCTGTGCCACATCTAAAACATTATCAAAGATGGCTGAAGCGACTGAGGTGGGAGTAAAATGAATAGCTTTTCAACTATTTAGACTGATTAATAGGGTCTTCCCACACACCGTCAAAGCGCATCCACCGTCCGTTGAGCGAACGGTCCATAAGGTTTTGCCGTTCTGAATTTTCTTGAATGGACCGCGGTTAGAACGCATCTAAATCTAACCACGGTTTGTTAGTTTTTTAGTGCAACTCTGATTTCTTCTTCTTAAAATTTGACCAACACTACGAAAATGTAAACAAAGTTGGCGAGGAACAATTGAAAAATGAAATTTAAAATGTGGCGCCAAAGCTACAAACATGCCCAAATATATAAAATAAAGTAGAGGAAGGCGGTTTATATTAAATAGTAAAGCCTAGTACTCTGACGAGAAAAATCCGCTGTATAAATTTAGACAGCGGCCAAACTCCATATAAAAAAAACGGTGTCGAAAAAAAAGAAGAAGAACTTTTAGACACGTCGTTTTTTTCGGTACTCTGACGACGAAAATGAAGCCTGCGAAAATTGAATGGCGTTGCCAGATCAAGATAGTAAACAGCTGATATCGCGCTGTCTAAATAATTCATTTGATTTATTTAGACACCCCTAATGGAGGGAAAGTTGAAGGAAAAAGGTGGCATTGATAGGGGCTGTCAAGGGGAAGCCCATAATATGGAATTTAACCCACAAAGGACATTTTAATGCCATATTTATTAATATTTTTAATATTTTTTTTGAATATTTGTTTACAAACAGCTGTCCAGTGTGACCAAGGAAAATGCTTAAACGCCATAAAAAGTACATTTTCATGGAATTTCCTTAATTTTTTTGGTCACACTAGCTCGGTAGCGAAATAAACAGCGATTCCGCTGTCTAATTTATACAGCGGTTTTTTCTCGTCAGAGTACTAGGCTTAACAATTGGGGACATTTTGGGACAAGAATGTACAAGAAAACATCAACGAGTTCTTTGGGCATGCTTGTAACTTTCTCACCAAATTTCAAAGAAATGTATTATATGGAGTTTTGCTGCTTTAAAAAAATGTGTTTTATGTTAGTAACAGTCCTTAATTTTATGATAATCGGACGACTCTATATCATATACATATCTCCCATAGGAACAATTAGTAGATGTAGAGAAACATGTAAAACTCTTAAGCCTAGTACTCTGGCGACGAAAATCCACTGTAACACGTGTTATAGCGGCCAAACTCCTTATAAAAAAAACGGTGTGAAGAAAGGAAGATGAGGAAATTTGTGCCTTGTCAATTTTGCCGGTACTCTGACGACGAAAATTATGCCTGCGAAAATTAAATGGCGTTGCCAGAGCGGCGAAATACATTATGAAAACACCAAAATCCAATCCGTTTGAATTCATCTCTATTTGTTTACAAGCAACAAACAGCTGTTCAGTATTACCATTTTCATGACGTTTCATGGCTTTTCCTTAATTTTTTTGGTCACACTGGTTACCGAGCCAAATAAACATCGATTCCACTATAACACGTGTTACAGCTGATTTTCGTCGTCAGAGTACTAGGCTATACATGTACACATAGGTAAATGAATGTTATTATTACTTTGTTTATGTTCAGCTTATTTATTATTTATATTATATTATTTATTTTCAACTTATATGAGTATTCTTAATATATATATGAATTTAAAATTATTGAAATTTTATTAAACCCAAATAAATATATGCTATCAATGTATAAATATTCTTCTTTTCTATATACCGTTTTAATTTTTTTTAATTTGACCAAAATGATACGATTCTTAAGGGGGTCTTCTCATTCAAAAGCAGTTTTTGGACCCTTTTTAAAAAAATTCTTATTTGAAAACGCAAAGAATAATTGAAAACTTTTTTTATTTATTATATTCAAAAATGTTCAAAGTAACTAAAAAAGTTGTTCTTGCCTCGATACGAGGGTTGTTCAAAGAGTAATGAGACTTCAAACTTTGTGGTCGAAAAAAAAGGTGTCGTCCTGGCGGCCACGATTCAGGGACTCCAGAGCGTCCGAAATAAAAAATAAAAACGGGGTTATAATCAGAATAAATGTCATTTTCGGCTGACGGAACAGATTTTTTAAAAAAATTTTTAAAACAAAATGGCGGCCATTCAAAAAAAAATTCGATTTCGGGCGTTTTTTTTGTAGCTTAGTGTAAAAAAAAAAAAATAGAAAAAAAATTTAAAAAAATATCTGTTCCGTCAGCCGAAAATGGTGACAATTCTGCGTCGATTCCACTTTGTTTCATGAAAATCGGTTCAGTTGAACTGGAGATATCATGGCCGCCAGTTCGAAAAACGTGGTTTCGAGATAAACGCGTTTGAAGTTTGAAAAAAGCTCATTTTGCATAGATCTTGCTTCACAAAAAAGGCTGTATCTTCTAAAGTATTTCGAATTTCTAAAAATAGACATATACACACCATCCCAAACTATAAATAAATGCAAAAAAAAAAAATCGAAAAAAAAAGTTGCCCAATGAGAAGACCCCCTTATTGAACCAATTGCAAACTGCAACAGTATTCAAACTTCGGCGAGCCGAAGTTCGTTGCCTTTCTTGTTTTACTATTTTACCTTCTCAAGAACTTGAATCTCACCTTAAAGCTTGCCATTGGATGAAAGTAGAGAACACGCTGATTAGTATTTTTGTCGTACGAAATACTCATTCCAAAAACACCGTCCAGCCATTGAAAATTTAATCCATAGATATTAAAGTCAGATGCAAAAGGCTCCGGGCTAAAATTATAATTCGTAACTCGCCAGCTATTATTTTTTGAGAGACTGTAAACTACCAGGCCGAATCGCCAGACATCCGATACGATGGCATGGGCTTCGTCGCATGTATTTCCGACATCAACAACAATATTTGAATGAAGAGAATCTTGTTTCACTTGCGACTCTGGTAAAATGTAGCGATTGATCAGTTTATCAGTTTTAAGATCATAAACGACTATCTTTGGCGGACAGATTTGATTTAGATTGACAGTAGCATTAACAATACCCGAGTCAATTAACCAAAGTCTATCGCATTTATCAATTGCCGTGCGATATACCGATATTAGCTTGGAGCAATCAGGTTTTTTGGGGTCTCCATGATCCATCCATGTAGGATACGGTCTAATTGCTGGACTTGTCTCTATTGCCGGATATGGAATGGTACCTAAACTGGCAGGTACTCCATCCTTCCAACGAGGCGTTGTTATAAATAGTCGATCGCGATAAACATCGATTCCCAAGGGTAAGTTGTTCTTGGGTACAAAGTCGCTGTAAATAAATAAATTAGTTCAAAGAATGTAAAATTGTGATTTTAATGTTTTACCTTTCCGACTAGTAATTCTTCATAAAGGTCAATTACAAACAAAATCTTAAATATAATATGAAATATTAAAAATGTTTATCATTTTTCTGATTTTTCTAGCTACTCATAAATTCCTTGATCTTATTTAGTTTTTTGTTTTTATAGCCTTGTAGGATATTATCATTTTAGTGAAAAAGTCAACAGCCAAGTCGATCTCGCCATCTCTGTCTTTCCGTCCATCAATCCATCTGACTCTCACTAGTATAAAAGGTGGAACGGGCCGGATCAAAAGATTATATTATATAACTTTTTTGTTTTTCAACAAATTTGTATCTACCCTGAGATATGGTCACTTGACCATTATTTCAGAATTACGGTTTCAATTTTATGAAAATCGTACCGAAGGAACGATCTGTAGATCATTTATTTTATTTATTAAAAACTATAAACTATAATTCTAAAAGTTGTTATTGATTTCTTTTTGTTTAGCATTATATTTATAGTTAATATTATATTGGATGTTTTAAATTAATTATAGTTTTTTCAGGGATTGCAAATAAGTGTTATGAATCAAGTAAAAATTGAAAAAAAAAACTTTTAATTTGAAATCTATTTATATAAAAATGGAGACAAAAAATGTTAGCAATCACATCACAAGAGAACGGCTGGGCCGATTTGGCTCAATTTTTTGTTCAGTTGTTTGTAATTGCCAGAAGAAGGCTATAGCATAATAAAATTTTGGGAAAACCTTCTGGAAAAGTCTCTAGCGGCTCAACAGATGTACACACTGTTGTATGTAAAATTCTGAAACACCCTACAAAGATCATAGCTGCGTTGAGATTGTGTATCAATGAAATCGGTAAAAAAAATATTGAATCAAAATATCGAGTTAACGAAGCATTACCAAAGTTTTTTTTTTTTTTTTTTTTTTTTTTTATTTAGGCTTTGCTTTTATTTATTGAATCTTCTCATTTATGAGACTAACAATAAGTGTATCAAATCTTACAATACTACCTAACTAGCAGTCATGAGACTGGTACAAAGTAAATGGCCCTGACTAATTATGGCTGGGTGGATGGTCGTTACGTAGTAGGCGGCTTCTTCTGGAAACTCGTATCAAGTCCCTTGCTAAGGGATTTGGATGGGTGGAGAGTTTTTCCTTGTAGGATGCTTTTTGTTTTTTTATTTCGTTCTTAACTGCAGGAATGCCGAGATCCCTGTGAATGTGTTCGTTGCGAATATACCATGGTGCCCCCGTGATAGTTCTCAGGATTTTTGATTGGGCACGCTGTATGATGTCTAGATTGGTACTGCACGCGTTCCCCCAGAGCTGGGAGCCATATTGGCTTCAGTGTAGAGTTGTAGAGCAGGACCTTGTAGTCCAGACACAGGGGCGATCGGGAGTTTATGAGCCAGTGGAGGCTGCTGGCTTTTAGTTTTAGATGAATTTTCTTGCAGTCAATGTGTCTTCGCCATGTTAGGCGTCTGTCCAGGTGGACGCCCAGGTACGTTACCACGTTGACTTCGGGGATCTGCGTGCTGTTCAGGTAGAGCGGAGGGCATGCTTGTCTGTTGAGAGTGAACGTTATGTGCTTACACTTTTGTTCATTTATTTTAATACGCCAATCAGATAGCCACTTCTCGACTACCTTGAGGTGGTTGGCGAGGTGGGTTGTTGCCCGGACCGGACATTGGAACGGCTGAGGATCGCAGTGTCGTCAGCGAAAGTGGATAGTGTTAGTTGGTCGCTTAATCAGATTGATCAAAACCGGATTGGATATCATGCATTATGACGACACAAAATCATTATCAGCGCTGACAAAACCCCAATGGTATCCATGCAAGACAATTTAATGCTCCCACTATCAATGAAGTTGCAGTGGTGATTGTTGGCGAGAATGTGGAATCACGCGATATTATTCTTAAGCGTCGGGATAACGGCCAATTGCAGCGAGTTTATGAGACTCATCGGTCATATGATGCTTTTCAATACCCGTTGATGTTCTGTCGTGGGTATCATTTCAACATAAAGATGGTCAATCCAACGACAGGTTTGTTTACAAGTCATCACTTCTCTTTGATTCTACAACTAAGTTTGAATTCAAATTTTAGGAGAAGAAACGAATAAGAAGGTCAGCTCTATGAATTTTTATGCGTATCGATGATATTTCAACAGTACTGTTTCGACAGGTACTTCAAAGTAGAAACGGAACGTCTCAATTTCATTTGTTTTAATCAGCCGAAGTTGGGGCGAGATAAAGTTCGCCAGGTCCTCAAGTTTGAAAATAAAACTTGTTAAATAACTTTTATTTCGAAAAGGGACATTAAAAGTGAAATTAAAACATCTTTTAAACTTGGCGACCTATTTAAAATATTGAAATATAATAAATAAGCAACGATTTATTTGTAAAATCTGATGTAAATGTTTTGTGTGGTAGTGAAGCTTGGTTTGTTCCCAAACTTAGTGTTTTCTTAGTAGAATGTAAATGTTATCACCCATACAGATCTGACCTCCTGGAGGGTTACAAACTATATTAACAAAAGATAAAAACGAAACTAATAAGCGAACAACTCTCTGCCAGCTCGATAGAATATATATTCTTATGAGCAAAGAGGGTGTGGAAACTCATATGCTGCTTGGATGTGTTGTAAACACATCGAGTCGAACGGGCGTCTCTACTGATATTAATTGAGAGGTATCTACCCTGCAGAACCACTGCGTTTCATTAACATGCCGACTGCTACTTCTCGACGCTCTTATTCGACAATCGTGTCAAAACCCCTGTTCAAGGTTCCGAATGGAAAAGGCGGATTTAAGAGTAAACATTTAAGGGTTGTCAGACAACGACATATTCATAACATTAGTTTCAAACAATTACTATTCAGTTTGTTTTACAATTAAAAGTTCGGCTTTTAGTTTAAACTAGTATTTAACTATTAGTATAAGCTCGCCAGCACTATTCTCCAGCATCTTGCAACCAAAATATCTGACTGCTATTAAAAATATTTGAAAATGCTTATTGCGCCCGCAAGTGTTCCACTACTATACATGGGTTGGAGACTACAGCGTTCCAAAATTTGATCATTCCCTCATTAGAAAATCTCAGACAAAGAAAACCCATTTGCTTAGAGCGGCCAGCTGAAATTATTTAGGAATTTATGTGTAATTGAACAAAATTTTCTTAAATCAACAAGGAAAATTCACTTATGTAAAAGGGAAATCTGAAAATGTTATCAAATTCGCTTGCGAGTGAACACTAGAATAGGCCTGCATTTAAAAATGAAGTATTTTACCTTTAGTTCATTTAGTTATGCAATTATGTCGCTAAAAAATCAGATAATAATTCAAATCCGTGGGAAAACTAGAACAGGTCTGGCTTAAGAAGCAAAAACTAGAGCAGGTCTGGAAGCATTAACATTGACCCTCCTTCTATCATCCCACTTTAGAGCTAATCGTATCCGGAAGATGAGCCTGCAACATATTGTACTCAGTTTTTAACAAGTATGTCCCTTAAATTTCTCTTTCTTTTCTAAAACATTTGAAATTTAGACTCTCCAAGAAGTATAGTCAAACTAGTCTCCAAGTCGACCAATCAAGATATTTAACTGCTAGTTCAAATTTCTTACCCCACATTTCTAAATGCTACAGAAATCACTTAAATCAGTGCAAAATTTAGTGGCTGGGAAAAATCCTCAATCTGAACCCTCCCCGAGAGCGCCGGCTGGTCAATGGGCACAGTATTGACCCGGATACGGGTAGTGCATCGCTGCTTGAACCGTCCGCAAATATACAGTGCCTAGCAAAGGATACGGTTCAATTCCTTCTGCCCGAAAAGCCGGAGGAAATGAACCATTAGCCATGGCTGGTACGAAAGGAGAAACCGGATCTGGGATGTCAGGAGTGACCCCTACCACCGGCGGGCAAGCGAGGGAGCCATCCTCTCTGCGTGTCGCCAGCGGTTACACCTCTGATGTGACGGCAGCAGGTCATATTAGTTGCAACGCTACTGCAGCAACTGCTACTGCAGGCAGCGCTCGGCGGAGAGCGCTTGTAAGGACGCACTGGAGAGCAAGAGGCAACGCGAGCCTAAGGAGGAGGAAAAAAGCGCCTTTTGGTAGCTTCCTGTCACATCTTTGTGGGTCACACTTCCTTAAGCGTGCTAGATTTTACTCTTGTATGGGGACAGGATATCAGAAAGGAGAGCCCTTGAGAGACCATCCTTCTTAGATCATAGGTACATACGGTTCCAATACGCATTCGAACACTCTCCAAAACAATCAGTCTTTAGGAACCCTCCGGGCATAGTAGAATCCGCGGAAGACATAGAAAAGTCCCTAGAGACCCTCTTCAAAGAACTGCTAGATGCGTACCACGCATCATGCCCATTTTTTTTTTTTTTTTTATTCAATCTTCTCATTTATGAGACTAACAATAAGTGTATCAAATCTTACAATACTACCTAACTAGCAGTCATGTAGAATGGTACAGAGTAAATGGCCCTGACTAATTATGTCCCTTGCTAGACGATTTGGATGGGCTGAAAGTTTTTCCTTGTAGGGCGCATTTTCTTTTCTATTTCATTCTTAACTGCAGGAATGCCGAGATCCTTGTGAATGTTTTCATTGCGAATATACCATGATGCCCCAGTGATAGCTCTCAGGAGTTTTGATTGGGCGCGCTGTATGATGTCGCGTTGCAATATTCTCGATGCCGAAGGCTGTGCGAATTTCTGATGTTATTCTGTTAACTTGCTCGATAGTTTTATGCTTTTTTCTAAAGCCAAATTGATGAGCTGGGATGATTTTGCGAGCTCCCAGATAAGGAGTTATGCGCATTAGAAGGCATTTTTCAAATAACTTAGACAAGCATGATAGTAAACTTATTGGTCGGTAAGATGGCGGAATCGTGTGGTCTTTTCCGGGTTCCGGTATCATTATAATTATAGATTTTTTCCATTTAATTGGG